CACAGATAACCTAACTGAGTGCAATACTTATATTAATAATAACAAAAATCATAAACATTAACATTAGGCAATGTGCTAAAACTTTACATATCCCATGCCATAAGAATAATACTATTCCCACAATGGTGTTGTTAGGTGGCGTCAAAGTGGTTCCAACTTACAGTAACTTTATTATGTATGACAGAAAAACACACTGCCCAATCCTGAGCCACTCTTATAATCGTTACCATCTTTGAGATCATTCTTACAGCCACTGTGTCAATCCAACTCGTTAAGGGTCTTTCTCTGTTTTGCTGACTTTACCAAGCATGATGTTCTTCTCCAGGGACTAGTCCATCCTGATAGCATGTCCAAAATATATGAGACAAAGTCTCACCATCCTCACTTCTAAGGAGCATGCTTGGCTGTACTTCTTCTAAGACAGCCTTGTTCATTCTTCTGGCAGTCCATGGTATATTCAATATCCTTTGGCAACACTATAATTCAAAGTCATCGATTCTTCTCTGGTCTTCCTTATTCATTGTCCAGCTTTTGCATGTACATGAAGCAAATGAAAGGACCATGCTTGGGTCAAGCACATCCCAGTCCTCAGAGTGACATCTTTGATTGTTAACCAGATCTGCCCAATGCAACACACTATTTGATTTCTTGACTACTGCTTCCTTAGGTGTTTATTGTTGAGCCAAATAAAATGAACTCAGATTCACTTCAATATTTTCTGTGTTTATCAGGATGTTGCTTATTGGTCCAGTTGTAAGGATTTTTGTATTCTTTGTTTTGAGGTATAATCCATACCAAAGGCTGTAGTCTTTGATCTTCATCAGTAAATGCTTCAAGTCTTCTTTTCAGCAAGCAAAGTTGTGTTATCTGCATGTCACAAGTTGTTAATAAGTTTCCCTCCAATCCCAATGCCATGTTCTTCTTCATACAGTCCAGCTTTTTGGATAATTTGGTCAGCATACAGACTGATTAAATATGGTGAAAGGATATACCCTTGATGCGTACCTTTCCTGATTTTCAGGTACTTAGTATCTCCTTGTTCTATTCAAATTACATCTCTTGATCTATGTACATGTTCCTAATGAGCACAATTAAGTGTTTTGAAACTCCCATTCTTCACCATGTTATCCATAATTTGTTATGATCCACATAGTCAAATGCCTTTGCACCGTCAATAAAACACAGACAAACATCTTTCTGGTATTCTCTCCTTTCAGCCAAGATCAATCTGACATCAGCAATGATGTCCTTTCTTCCACTTTCTCTTGTGAATCTAGCTTGAATTTCTGTTGATGTACTGCTGCAACCATTTTTGAATTATTTTCAACAAAATGTTACTTGGATGTGATAGTAATGATATTGTTTAATAATTTCCACATTCCATTCCCATGTAAAAATATATGAAAACTGTAGCCCAGAGAAATATGGAAATTGCCCATATCACAGAGCTAGTAGATAGAAAAGCAAGCATCTAAAGCCTAGACAGTCAACCTCTAGAGCCCTGGGCTATGCAGTCTCTCTCTTGGAATGAAAGCCAGCACAGCAGCTACAGCCAACACAGGAGGCAGGTAGATGAGTTCCATACTGAACACTGAATCTGGATACTCAGGGCAGTCATACACTCCGTGAAGACTGTTGGTGAAACCCTCCTGGTCTCCTCAAAGGAGAAGGAATTCTGGCTTGGTCCAGAACAGGATTCACCAAGGAGAATCCTTGGCACTAAGTATGGACCTACTGGTAAGAGAAGCCTAAGAGGCTTAGCCCTACTCATGTGAGAACTATTTTTTAAGAGGTTTCCTCTTTTGGCCTTTCTGTCTGGATTGGATTGCTTGAGTTCTTGGAACAAGTTTGCCAGTATAAGGAACAGTCCCTTCTGCAGGCCTAAGGAGAACACAGCATAGGAAGAGCCACTGAAGGCTGCCTCTGGTTTACAAAAGTGTCGACATGGGGATCTGTGGCCACAACTCCAGTTAGTCACAAAGAAACTCGGTTATTTATTTGGAGTTGGACCTGGAGCTTTGCCCTCAGAATTCTGAAGGTGTCAGAGGAGGTCACTTGTCAAGAATTCTGAGACATGGAATCCTGGCCCAATCTCTCACCCCAAAGATAAGCCCAATAGCACTCCTCTCCTTTGTCTCTAGCAGTGCTCCATGGTGGCAATTCTAACTGCACATACTGAGCAGCAACCACTCACCTCTCTTCCTCAAAGTGCCACATGGAAGTTACTATGGAACTGATGATCCAAAAGGATCAGCAAAAGGACCTAGAGCTCACTCAAGCCATCTAGCCAACACCACTAAAGGAGGGATGCCTCCAACCTAAGCAAAATGGCCATTCTGTAACCATAAGATCAAATATCCAAAGGACCTCATAACCCTATACAATAAGCCAAGGGGAGGGCCGAGGTGCTCGGAATGAGTGCTGACCGACACCTGGCAGGGAAAAGGTTCAGGCCATCTAGCTAGTGCTGACTCCCTACCTCTACCCAAGTCTGCCAGTGAAACAGGAATCCCTCAGGCTCTTGCTAAAACCAGGCCTAATATCACTGAAATGACCAACTCCTTTTACAGTTACAGGAATTTTAACACCAACCCCCTTTAATTTTACCTTGAGATTCACAATGGGAGCCTATTTCTGTGTGATGACATTTTTCTATCAGGTAATTGCAGACACAGTATAATAATAATGGGAGTAGCCCTATACTCAATGTACAGGCTTTTTCTAATCAGGAAACCCAGATCAGAGTCTCAGCACAATTCAGAGTTGAAGGCACACAGACAATACTGTGTACAGGACATAAATATTTCCACAGAAGGAAAAAATGGAGAAACAGATCAGTACAATTAAAGTTTCTGCTTTCAAGTGTAATAACTGCTAAACATTTTTGAAGGGTAAATATATTGCCTACCCCCAAGATACCCCTACTCAACATGCATTTAATATGTATCACTGAACATGTGCAAAGATTACAGTAAATTGCTCCACAAATGCAAATTATTGCAATCAGCGTCTTCTTTTCTAGTTCTAAATTCAAAGGCAAACTATTAACACAAGACTGCTAACTCTTGCTATTATCACACTTGCTATTATCACACATCCTCCTTCTAACAAAACCACATTTCCAGATGGACTGCCAAAATTAGGCAAGTGACTCCTAAGAAATACTATCAAGATTGGCATGCAAGAAATTCATTTAGAAATGAATGCTTTATTTACATAAAGGACACACATACCCAAACACACCTATCCTAAGGAAACACAAGTTGCTTTATTTACAATTCAACTTGAATTATAACTCAGTGAGGCCATTTGGAGGAACAGTGGGACAGCTGGGCTGTTATTCTGTCAGCATACTGATTAGTTCTCAGAGTTGGATGGGACAGACTTATGATTTGTGTATGTGGGCTGGGCCTGGTTGGGGAATCCTAATAATAAAATAAGAAAAATATTTAAACTCAACCCAGACAAGGTAAGAGGGATGCAGGGAAGTTACAGATTATGGTCAATGAAATGGAAATTCAGTCAGTAGTATGGGCAGCTCTATAACAACACAACTGCTTATTCCCTTTTACAGACTGCTTTGTTTGCTGTTAGACATAAAGACGACTAATTTTTAAAAGCGTATGAATCTCCAGCAACACATAACTCTTAAGCAGATCACATTATTGCAGTGCATTCTATTAGCAGCCATTCCTGCAGAATGTAATTATTAGAGCTGTCAGTTCGATGGACTACAACTAACTGCTCTGTTTGAATCTGAAAAACTCAAGGCAGCAATTTTCACAACTAACTGAGAGAACCATGTGCTCAGAACTGAGGTGGGTTCTGAGGGCAGGGAAGGAATTTAGTCTCTAGGACAAGAAAGGCTAACTATGGTAGCAACTGGGATCTTAATAGCTTGTAAGCGGCCATCTAAATGCAACAATCCTGAGCAAAGAAGAATGAAGAAAAGCAAAGACACACGGAAACAATTAGTCCAAGGGACTGGCAGACCATGTGATCCTCAGCCTATATGACCAAGAGACCAGAAGAACTAGATGGTGCCTGGCTACCACCGTCAATCACTCAGAGGGGGATCTGTGTAGATCCTGGATAGAATGGGAGAACAATGTGGAACAAAACTCAAATTATATAGATAGATAGATAGATAGATAGATAGATAGATAGATAGATAAAGACCAGGCTTTCAATTACATGAGACAAAGTATGTATGAACTGCTGTATGGAAAGTGAATTCGCTCTGTAAATCTTCACCCAAATCACAATTAAAAAAAAAAAAAAAAAAAAGACCAGGATAGCTGGTCTCATGTTGTTGTTGCTGTGTTTGCCATTGAGTGAGATCTAATTAATAGCAACCCCTCCTTGGGTATCTGAGGCGGTATCACTACGGAAGTAGATTGCCCAACCTTCCTTCTGAGGAGTGGCTGGTGGGTTTGAACTGCCAGTCTTCTGGTTAGTAGTCAAATGCCTTAGGCACTACATTACCTGATAAAACCTCTGAGACTTGGCCCCTAGCTGCCCTTCAGGTTTGGATTGAACTCCTGTGGCTTCCAGCCAAATAAAAGACCAGCATATGGGCTGAACATTTACGTTAGGTAGATATACTCCTTGGAGAGATCAATCATGGGAGAACAGAAGGACAGTGTATGCACAGGGAGACTGCTGGAGTAGAGGCAGGAATGCATGGGACAGAAGGACAGAGAGAAGAGGTTAACTATGGGGAAACATTGTGGGAAATTCCAGTCAATGTCATGAGACAAAATGTGTATGAACTGCTGCATGGAAAATGAAATTGCTCTGTAAACTTTCATCCACATCACAATAAAAATAAAAACAAAAATAAAAATAAAGAAAGGCTCCCTTTGAATGGAAATGGACTGGCATTGCTACACCTTAGTGCAATGGCTGGACATAGAAGTTTTTCCAGAAGAAAAAAAATAATCCCTTCTATCTAATGAAATCTTGATCACACATACTTGGGAAACAGAAAAGCCACTTACCACTGGCCAGCTTTAAAGGAAAAATGTTTTTCTGCAACACGTAGACAGAGCCTCTTTACTGATGGAGACTCATCCACAGTTCCACACACCTTAGCTATCGACACAATCTAAAATCAAAAAAAGAACTGTCACTGAGGTTAGTGCATACACAAGAAATAAATGTGACTTGCTAATAAATCCAACATTTTTGAAATCTACAAAGCTGTGGTTTTGAAAATCATAAAACAAGACTAAACCACATTTTGCTTTAAAATGCTGCCTACCACCAGGTGAACACGTTTTTAATTTTCTTATTTTTCAGTGGCTTGCTATCATACTAGTTTTAATTTTATTCTGAAAATAAAAATCATCTCTTAAAGGGACCGTGTAAAGAGTTTATTTGTTGAGTGACTATGGTGTGCCAGCTACTGGGCTGGGCATTCTGGGAAGAGCTCAGGGAACGGTAAACCAACTCTCCCTGATTATCAGTACACTCAAAGTGAAGCCCACTGTTTGTTCCAATCCTGTAAGTCCAAAAGAAGGCTAAGTAAAAAAGGTGAACCTAAAAAACCAAACTCACCACTACTGAGTCAGTTCCGACTCACAGCAACCCCTCCTTGGGTTTCTGAGGCGGTATCTCTATGGAAGTAGATTGCCCACTCGTCTTTCCGAGGAATGGATGGTGGGTTTGAACCACTAGCATTCTGGTTAGCAATCAAATGCCTTAGGCACTATACCACCAGAGAGTACCTTTTTTTCTAGCAATTTCAGCGTAATTATGTGTCTGTGAAATCTAATAATAAAAAATAAATTGGGTTTGTATTTTTAACCTCTTGTTTTTGTAATCTATTATTTCTAGTAATTCATTTTTAATTGTATTTTACAAAATTATCACAGTCTGCAACATGAAAACAATAACAAGAGTCCTTCCCTACAGATAATTTGAGAAGCACTGTTCTAAATGACATTATCTGATTTCTGGAAAGCCCTAGAGTGGTCTGAAATGGACACTCCCCAATTAAGTTCCATCCACCCCTCAGCACCCCACAAACTCAAAATGTATCTACGTTCTTCACTCTTTCTTCCACCTTTAAGTTTCTCTTCCTTTCCTAAA